CAAGAGTGAGACCTTTTGCCAGTGAATCATCCATCCCCTCGTAAAGCAGAGTATGCTACTTGTCCGTACTGCACAGTTAATAATACACAAAAAGAGACTTAGGTACTCTTCAGGACAAAGAATAATAATGGTTATAGATACAGAAGGATATATATAATATATAATTTAAAATTTTATTTTAAAACTTTGCGCATACACTTCTTCAGCATCCTCCTCTTTTGTTCATTGCACTGAAAAGTTTCAAAAAAACATAAAATATATCCCTTTACTAAACATTTTTTGTTCTTAGGTTACAAAAAGATTAACGTTTCACAGTCACAAAGCAGAAGTACATTGGTCCAAAACATCTTCCTTCAGCAGCTCCTCCATTCTTCAGGAGATATAAAACCCAGACAGTTGTACAGAACTCAAAACAAGATGACTTGTCCAATGAAGGAAAGAAAAAGGTGGCAGCTATTATTAAAAAATAAAAATAAAAAAATCCCAAACCAAAATAAGACACCTATGAAAGAACACCAGCAGTAATGGTTAAAAAAAAAAAAAAAGAGAAAGAGAGGAAAAAGAATGAAAGTGGAGGTGGACAAGGGCATCCTCCTTCAAGTACATCACAGGTAGAAATACAGCAGCACAGTAACAGCATTGTTTGGTCACTCTCTCTATGGTAGCCACATCACTAGATCTTCATCTAAGACACATGGAGGAAAACTATTTACAGATCAAAAATGTCAGGGAGGAACAACAACTCCACACAGTTTGCAATTCATGTTTTATACAAAAATGTTGAAAGTATTTGTACCTAAAATGTAAAATAAAAGCAAAATGCCAAGGCAGGAAGAAACACAGCAGATTTGCTTGGAGTGTGTAGTGTTCTTTAAAAACTAGCAAAAGTTCAAAGACAAAATCTGCCCAAACATCAAGTGCAGTTCTTCAAAAATATCCTGGAGGCACAAAGTCGACTGTATCTCTCAGACCTCTTTTGTCATATTTTAAAATGGAAGTATCTTTAACATGGAAATCCAGTGCGAACAGCAGACTGGCCACTTCTCCCTTAGCTTGTGAGCCCTGTTGTTCTGTAGCACTGACAAAAAAAGTCTCTCCCTCTCTCTCTCTCTCTCCAGTGTGAGGCCACTGAACATCAGCTCTCTCAGACAACAACCTTTTGTGTTTATGACGGAAGCATCATTGCCTTAATGTACCAAAAGATGGTTGTGTGCCTCACTTAAGGTGTAAACAAAACTATCTTCTTCATCAAATTAAACAAAGAAGATTTTAGGCTGTAGTGCAAGAGAAAAATGTCTGAAAATGACTGTACTACATGTGCAACAGTATTCACAGGAGAACCGTAGAAGCTTCTTGGTTTTGAGTTTCTAGAAGCTGGACTGGAATAGGCACCAGAAGACAGTGTTACACTGCACTGTTGGTGGACCTGAACTGTATGGCACACTACCTCCTTTCCTTGCTGCTGTCCAAGGAAGGACAAGAACTTGCCTGACTTTCTAAGCAGTGCCTACGAGGCAAGGACACAGCACCGTGCGAGAGCAGTATGAATACAGATGTAACTCTGGACTGAGGTTCCTTGCTGCTAAGGTTTAAGCAGCTTTGGATACTAAAGGAACTTCACTGGCAAAAAACATAGTGCTGCTGATGATGTGCCAAGGATCTAAGATCTGGAGTTAGGGCCTAACTGACTCCAGTTTGAGAAGCGAGCTGTCTGCTCCTAACGCAGGAGCTTCATGGAGCCCTGGAGCAGCTGCAAGTCTGCACATGGCAACATCCATCCTGTGCCTATTTGAAAAATGGTACCGTGCACCATGGATCCTCCCTGCCATCAGTGGCTTCTAGTGCTGCGACTCCTGAAATAACTCAACCTGCAGAGGGAACTGGAAATGCTTTTAATTATCCTTGCTTCTCACACAACACCTCCCCAAGAAGTGAGACCGGCCTCCTATTTCTACGATGCTTTGGTGTGTATATGTATTTATACCATGCCTTGAAGCAGCGCACAGACCACAGTGCAAGCACAGAAGCTCCTACTGAAAGCAGACAGAAGTGAAAGCCCAAGTGCTAATGCAGCGTATCAGAGATGTACCCAGGACGCTCCAGGGCAGGGCAGCAGGCATGTAAATGTACAACAGACACTTTGTAAAAAAGCACAACGAAAAGCATCGCAGCACAGTTTCAGTCACCTACATCTGAGAAGGAAACTTTTTTATTTTTCTTTAAAGTTCTCAGAATTTATTAATTGATGCTAATTGATATCAATTTTTGATACTATACTTCTGCCCTTTCCAGAAGAGGGGCTGACAGCTAACATACCTTGACCTGGGCCCAGTCACTGCAGAAAAGCAGGCTGACTGACAGCAGTTCCTCAGATGAACAACATAGTGGAGGCTGATTCACAAAGCTGTACCAGTGCCCACAAAATTTTGCTCTGAGAATTCTGTCACCAGCCAGTCTGCTCTGACCAAGTCATGCACTCTGCTAACCCACCTCTCCAGGGGTACCTTTAAAAACACCCCTGAATGAGAAGGTGCATTTTCCATTGCCTTGAAGTTTCACTTTTAAATTTTGGCAAATGCTACACTGGAAATTTATTTCCACCACATTGTACTCAGTGGTTTTATAATGACTAGTGAGCGTGCTGACACCATGTTACCAATAAGACTAACAATGCACGGGCACTGAAATACTTGACTCAGCCTTGTGGTTGGTACCAGCAAGCACCAGCTTCTTTGCTGTTCAGATGACTCTGCCGGAATTGGCAGCATTAGTCTCTTTGTGAAAGAGGATCTGAACTGCTAGAGGACTACACAACTGCATTTGCAAAGAGACAACAGGAGTTACACAGAGCATGAAAAGCATGTTTACAAGTTTATTAGGCCAAAAAAAAAAGTGCAAGAGAAGATCCCTTGCTTAAACTTTTAAACATAGGAGGGGCCATGTGAAAAATATTCCAGACTCCAAATCTCTCTCTTCACCCAGCTGCACAAAGAAAAAGAGGTAAAGGGGGAAAAAAAAACCCCAAACAGATAAAGCAGGACAACACAGAATCAGGTATGCCACTGATTTATGCTGAAGCTCTAGAATATAAAACATCCGTGTTCTTCACAGCTTTATCACATGCAGGCACTGGGGAACGCACAGAACAGTTTTCAGGCTAAAATCATGCAGACTGCTGCACGTTTGAGCCATTACACACTCTGCATTGCCTCCTCCTGACCAGAAACTCCTACTGGGTCTAGAGATTTAGAGCAAGGGTAGTTTAAATCCACCGAGACTGTTGCACATGTACTTGCAGATGCAATAAAGCATCTGGGCAGCTCTACTGCACACGCGCTGCGCAGTGTTTACATAGCACATTATAAACCACAAAACTGGCAAACTCAACAAACAGCCACGCCTGCTCAAGAGACAGTCTGCAAAGGGCACAGCATCCTCCTCCTCCTTTGGGAAGGACACAAAACTTGTGAGCTGTCTACTCAGTGCCCTACCGGTATCAGCCCTCTATCTTTCGGCTATCCAAGAAGCACAAGCCAGATCAGCAGCTCCAAAAGAATGTGGTCTGGGGCCAAATCAGGTTGAACTTGGCTCCCCAGCCAATATACCTGCCTGTACACTACAGCCTCTTTCCTGATTTTGTTTTTTCTTCAACTCCTGCCAATGAAGCAAGAGAGCTGCCTGCTTGAACAACAGGCAGCCAGGTTAAGCTGCAGATTTACTCACTTGTTTCCCTCTTGGACTATTGGTTTCACTCTGATAATGTTTTATTCAGATTTTCTTTATTTAAATTGATTTATCACTGCTAAGAAACAGGCTGCTGAAGCTAATCAAAGGCTTGTATCTGTCACAGGGATCTGCTGATCCAGGACTACAGTCCTCAATACCAAAAGGACAGAAAGTTATAAGCTGTCACTTTCTGATCACCAAGTCAAACAGGCAAATGGATACTGAGTGATAAGCGAGGCAGGACAAAGGGAAACGACTTTTAAATAGTTCACTATCTGGGTATCCGAATTGATAACATGAACAATATCACCACTTCAAGTAGGAATCCAACTAAAAATACACTCAGGAGCCCAAATAAATTTACTGAATCCCAACTGATGCACAAGCCGTGTGATCAGGGATCCTTTCAACAGGATAAAGCAGGCAGAACCACTCAATGAATGAAAATCTCTGATCTCAAAGAAACCATGGCCTCCAGGTAAACATCACATAAAGCTGAGTTGGCGCGCTCTGTATAATCATGGTATACACACAACAGGGAATCTTGACAAGTAACTCCTCACACCAGAATAGATCTTGCCACACAGGACTGTGACCCATTTCTCCTGGACAATTTTGGAGGTGGCTGTTTTAGCTGCAGTAAACAGGCATAGTCACACTGAAAACAATTTCAGTTTTCCCACTAAAATACAGGCGTATAGTCTACTGAAGAAGAGATAGGAGAGGAAAATGGGGGTTCAAAGGATTACACAAGTTTGAAGTTGTCCATAGGTAAGTCATGAATGCAACTTTTTGACAGAAGAAAACTCTTGAGTCTCATATATGGATATATAGATATTTTTAAATGAGATGTGACCCAAGTCACCTTCTGAATATTTAGCGGTAGATTTCAGTAGCCTCTTTGGCTTCTGATACCTACTTCTACTTTCACAACTGAAATGGCTCTTCCAAGCTACATGGTAAAGTGAGAAAAAAACTATTTCCCTCCCTGGAGGGATGACAGAATCCATAATATGCTAGCAGCATTTAAATCCCATTCCTGTTAAGCACCAAAACCATTTCTATAGGGAAATTATAATCTTAAGGGTTATCTTTAATCATATACAGTATATGTGCAGAGCCCTACCTTTCGGGCAGAAAAATACCCCTCCAGCATTAGTTCTGAGTACATTACATCAATTGGAAGTGTCCTGGTCAGATCACAAAAAACATATTGTCTCTTACAGGCCCTTCTCAAAAAGATCCTCATCCTATAACCACTCTTGATGCTACTTTCACGACTGTCTGTTCCCATGTATTAAAGGGATGACGTAGACAGAGATGTCGTCTCCAGAGCCCAGCCTGTCGTTGGATATTCGCCAGCCCCGATCCTTCAGGACTCCCCTGGCTCGCATCACCAGGTCCTGCGCCGCCAGCGTGTACCTGTGGAAAAGGCAGAATAGAGGCAGGGAGTGCTTGTCTTTGTGAGGAAAGTGGGTTTTCACAGCCTGCCAGATTTACTGTTGTGAGCTACCATGACAAGCTTCCCAGTGTTTTAGAAGCAGGCAGGAGAAATGCAAACCATGGCACACCCACAAAGCAACCCCTTCCAGTTCAGTGATGGCTCCTGTCTGAGAATCTGAAGGTATCTGACAGGCACGGATCGATCAAAAGTCACCCATCATCTTGGGTGCCTGGCTTCACACGTTTTCAGAAAAATATTAAAACACTTGCCTTAACAAATCTGCTTTTTAGGAGTAGTCTGAAAAAACTGAGGACCCAAAATAACACTGCCTGTTGTTGAAAACTACATCCTTGTGGCCTGAAACATCTGAAGGTAAATACGGGTCAATTATTTCAGAGACAAATCATAACAAAGAAAATGATTTGAAAGTAATAGAGCACTAAAAATAAAAACCAAATTACACTTTAAACTAAGTAGACTAACTTGTCTGTAAGAATGACTTTTAAATTTCTTTAATTCTGAAACTGGAAAAGAAAACTTACCGTTAATACAACCAGATTAACAAAGTCCCACAGTCCTTTCACATTTATAAGTTCAATGAAAACTGTGTGAACATGAGTTGTTAAATGCTTAATTTAGTGAAAAACCAGGTTTCATGTTGCTTCAAAACACCCAGCCCGTGCTGGGCTGAATGGCATTTGATTTATGCGAGTTATTTTCTG